TAAGGTATTTCTGTAGGCACGATATTACAGATCTAACTACCGGTATTTCAATTAAATTAATCCATTCGCTCCTGGAGATTTTGCCAAAAAACGTGTTTTGAAGCTAGTCGAGTGGTTTTCTGGTCACTTTCGTGCTATAAAGAGCTAAAACTTACCACAAACCGGTTTACAGGTCGTACACTTCACGGCCTTCTGATCCAGATGCAAAATATCAGCTTGCGAAGTTTGGGCATGCGCAGAAAGCAAAATTTCGCTTTCTCTCCTCCCCTCTTTTTTCGCTTTTCTTGCCTCATTTTTTTTCTCTTCCTGGGCATTTAGTAGGCTTCGTTTTGGTGGAAAGAGTTTTTAGGAAAGCTTTTAGGATCTTAGGATTAGGTGAAAGGAAAGGTAGGTGAGCAATGGAACAAGACTTTCATGGAGATTTTCAGGTCAATGTCACATGGGTTTTTGTTTCTTTTGCCGGTGTCCTTGAATGAATTGTGCTCATTCTGGTATGGTTTGAAAGATCTCTTCACTCTGCACAAATAAGTGGACAAAGTTGTCCTTGACCGTTAAAACTGATGATGTCACAAAGGGTAGAAAGGACGTGGATTCGCACTGGCGGTTACAGGCGGTTCAGGGGCGAATGGGTTAACACTACAAGTGTATGCAAGTAAAAAGTTTAGACAATGTTATAAAAAAACTCATAATTTGGGAAAAGTTCCTCATGTGACTTAACTGTGGAGAGGAACGGGGGTGGAATAATACCTACAGTGTTGATGTTGATCCAGTAGCTCTTGGAGAAACATAAAGCAACTATTTTGCTACAGAAATGTTATCACAAACAAGCTTTTCAAAAGGCGCAACATAATCTCGACCGTTCCTTAGCTACAAATTTTTCCAGCTGTCCACTGACAGCCTGCAATCAACTAGAGAGCTCCCGTCACGAAATCTTCACGAATAACCTTATTAATTATCGTGTGACTTATTATGGGAAACAAAGGAAAGAGATTAAAAGGTTTATAGGAGGGTATAAAAACCTCCGTCCTAAGTCCGTGGTAAATTGAATGTAGGCATCGTTTATTTTATCATAGCAACAACTACAACGTTACACATACCCTTGTTTTGTTCGTATCTACGCCAGACAAATGCGGAATTATTAAGGAAAGAGTTCTATTGAAATCACACATAGCTAGAGAAAATAAAAAACAAAATTGGAAAGAAATCGTACTCACATTTACTTGGCTTTTCCACGACTCGAGGAGTTTTATATTTTGAGAAATATATTTTCAGAAGCTTGCAATGGTTTCTGGGTACCTACCACTGGTTAGGGTACAATATATGTACCCATACATCAAGTCCCTACAATGCTCAGAAGGTGAAACCGCAGGTCAAATTGATCTTAAACTCAAATTCTACCATCGTCTCCGTGGCTCTCTCAGCTCTCTGGTCATTTTTCTACATTTGGTTTGGTTTTCTTATATAATGCTCAAGTCTCTAGTGGGAATACTATTGCGAGACAATGGAGTCATGAACAATTTGCAATTTTGACCCTAAGGTTCCTCTGGTAAAATTCATCTTCAAATAAGGGGTGGTCCACGGGGCTACAAACAAATTAATAACAAAATGGAGATCTTGCTCCCCATGGAGGGGGTTGGGGGTGGGGGCGTGGGGTTAGGTAGAAAGAGAACGGCAGTAAAGCAAGTATCAATAGTTAACCTATTTGATCTTACACTCAAACAATTGAATTACTTCTTCATTGATTTCTTAAATTAACGAATGACACAATTGAGGCACGTTTGGGTTACAAAACATTGGAGTTCTTGCTCCCCAAAAATATTGCAAGAAATTGATCCAAACGTGACGAAATTATAGAAAGTAGGTAAAAGAAAATGAAATTATGAAAGAAGACCATGAGATTACGAAGAAAAAGAAACAGTAGTGACATCTCCACATCACCACTGAAAAAGAGCGCATTTAGACGCCAGAGTCTACAGTGTTCTCAACAAAAGACCCGAAGCCATGCGCTTCTTGTGTGCGCGGAGACAAGAGCAGGGATAGATAAGATTGATAGGCGTCGGAGCGCCGAAAAATCCCCATGTAGTTTAATGAGATGATCCAGACCACCTGCTTGGTAGGTATAACTATCTCCTCCTCCCCCACCCCTTCATGTCAAAATTTATGTGGAGAGTATAGTTCACTGGATTCAGGCCTAAAATGATGTGAGACCGAAACCGTGGGATGTTGGACGGCAGAAGAACGGTGCGGCATCAGGAGGTGCTGGGAAAACAGAACGGCAGCGAGATCGCTTGCGGTGAGCTAAACAAATCAAATAAGCGCGTTGGGACGTGAACATGATAGCCATCACAATCAAAATTAATAATTAACCTAAATGTTCGTTCAATCCTTATCCAAAGTCAGACTCGCGGGCCCACAATGCAAGCAGAACATGTGCTTTGTGGATTCTCTGTCATGACAATGATTGATACTGATGAATTAAGGAAGAATACATTAAACTGACGTATTTTCACCCCTAAGTACAGAAAAAATGTCAGGCCGTTATAAATGATAACTGACTTCCTTTCATCGGAATAAAACCAATAACGCAGGTCTCTGAGTTCGCAATTCCCACAAGAAGTTTACTTTTCTCTTTTTGTTAGCACCTGTTGTCATTCAAAGAAATCAGAATATTTGTGTAATGAACAGAAAAAGAAAACGAAAGGGCAAAGAGTAGACTTGCCAAAAATAAAGGAAATATGAATAAATATAAATAAATAAAAAGCCAAAAGAAATAGTAACGCGACTAAGTTCGAGCCGTCTGTAATTTGATAAGAGCACCCCAATAATACGGTTCTGAAGGCTACTGTAGCGAGAACAGGATGATATATTTTCTGGCAAAAGGTTTTAAAGTGTGACGATATTCCATAACATAAATTTAAAGTACTGGTATTAAGTAAGAAATTTAAAAGAGCTATATTGGATGCTTAACAAAAAAATGGATCAAATTCTACTCAGTTAATCGGCTATTGTCAGGAATTTAACTCAAGTTATTATCTCCCCCACCCCTCTAAGTGTTTTCGCACTTTTTATGAGTGAGACTTCTTTAAAATAAGCTGATTTTTCTGGTCGCGGTACGTATTTACAGACCTTTTAACGTAAAAAGATAAATATTTCATTACATGGGATAGCCACTAATTCGACAAAACACTTATGAAATGCGACACTTAATAACCATGGTCAAATAACTTATGAAAATTTCAATTATTTTTCTTCTTTATGGTTCTCCTTCTAATTTCTTTGGCAATATATTTAACTGATGCGAAACGGATCTAACGATACGGGCGAGTCATTTTCATTCATTCAATATTCACTCAGAATCAGCTCCAAATTTGTAGAGCAACCTATGAAAGGAATTGTCTGTAAAATGTGATTTCAGAAGATAAAATCTTGCAAATGGAAAAACCTTTAACTGTAAAGGCTGGCGGATTTTAGTAGCATCGTCGTTTCTGTTACAAGGAGTCTCTTTTGCCGCTCTAAACAGTACATAATTAGAAAGGTAAGGCATTTCTTTTCATCAAAAATCAAATCATTTACTCGAATCCCTCAAGCTTTTTCAACAAGAATTTTTTCAGTCTTCTATAAATAGATGCAAGCACTAAATCCAAAATCCTTTTTGTGAATGTCTTTCGATACACGCATGATTTCCAGATTTGAGAAAAGCACTGAGTTCATTCAAGCCGATTTATCATCATTATCTTGTTTTAACTTCGTTGCGTTTGGTTCTTTTGCGTGAAGTTATGTCGTTAATGCAGAAATTAGAAGAACTAAGACTTCACGTGTTAAGATATCCAAGCTTTTTTTGACAGCTTGTTATGAATGTGTTTACGTTTAAACAGCGATGAACACTTCCACAGTATTGTTTGCTTTATCTTCAGTGCTCAAAAGACCACAACGATAGCAATTCATACGAATACAGTTTTATTTTTTTAAATCTAGTGACCTGTATTTCATTATCTTTCAAAAACACTACATTTAACGATGGCGTGTCACATAAATCAAAGAACTCGCATTTTGAGGGTGGGAAATGAGAGATATGAGAAAACTTTTAGTAGACAAAACGGAGACAAAAACGTTATAATAACCACAGTGTAAAAAATTTTTTGAAAATCTTGATAAGCGCTGATGCCGAATCAGTTATAATTATCCAATGGCCGTTCACAAGTAAAACAGAGGAAAGTGGTTTATAAGTGATAGTTATGATACCGTTAGGATGGGTAAATGCAGTTTTCATTAAATACATAAAACACAAAATTAAAGCGCTTAGGAATTATCTCACTTTATGACCATTTATGGTCTCAAAAAGTTATTTAAAGGGGTTAGATTTAGATCTTGATCATTGTTTTCTCGCAACTGAAGTAACTTTTCAGATAAATATCAATATGGGTACCGAAGTCCAAGAAAAGTGATAATGATGAACATGCAAAAACGTCTGCGTGGTCAAAAAACGGATGATGAAAGAGATTCCTAACCAAGAACTAAAACTCAATTTACGTAGTTCAGTAACTACAATGTTCAACCTCATTGAAATAAAAATGGTATCAATTTTCTTTTCTCGAATTCTCAATGTATATAATTGTTCTAATAACTAGATTGGTTGCATGCATCCGCAAGAAAGACAGAACCGACCGTCAAACTGTTTATCAAAATTTCGATCAACAAAAATGGCAACGTTAATTTTGGCATTGTTTTTACATATATATAAAAAGTGTGTTTAGTTCTAGAGAATGATTAACGAAATTGCATTTGTGTTGGACTACGGTTGATAATTTTGCCGCCAAAGTGAAAAGCAAACCTGAAATTACTTTTGACTTTACCTGCCGGCCGCCCTACTTGACGCTTCATCTCGGATTCGATTCCGTAGCAAAAGGCACTTATTTTCCAACTGATCCTATTTATTTAACAGAATAGATATGCCAGCTTTATTCATAAGAGGATTATTCTTCCTGATTTTCCTTCTTTCCATGAGACATCTGGGCCCTGGGTAAGTATGTTTTCACGATTAAAAACGTACACGCGTTTAGACCCCTCTAGACTTAACGAATGCCGTCTTTCCTGCCTTAGACATATACGGTAAATGCAAGCCTGTAATGACCTCGTTTCAAGAGTGAAAGCCAACAGTTCCGAACGAGACTTGTACTTACCCAAAGATGCAAAAGTATCAGAGCCGTAGCTATCGGAAGGGGGGGGGGGAAGAGAGGAGGCTGCCCCCCCGAACCCTTAGGATGGATTTGTTTTCTTTAGACTCAGTTACTTTAATTATAGTGACTTGCAATTGTTTGCCATTTTCATATTCGATGTCGACTTTTCGGAGACTTATCCATGACAAGTGCAAAAAATAGCGTTTCGGAGCACCCCCAGACCACCCTACAAGGCTCGTGCCTTCGGCACCAGCGATAATGCTCCCCCGTAACAAAAATCCTAGCTACGGCCCTGACTATGTATGCTAGAATTTCATAAATAACAACATCGTTTATTCAGACGTTTTCAATTGTAATCCTGAACTTGTTATAAATTTTCACGGAAAAGTATAAAAAACATGCAGTGCATGGTTTAGCCTCATGTCATTTATGACGTCATATTTTGTAACCAAGACAACTGCTTATCACTTGACTTTCCATAAGTAAATCTATTAAAAAAAGGCCACCGTACAGGAAGTCCAAAGGTGACTTTTCGAGTGCACACCGTTTATCAGAGGAAAAGAAGCAATCGTGGATGAGTATGTTGCTAACCCACAACCGAGTACTCAAAACTTCGGTTATTAAATATTTTTACGGCAGTAGATTTTCTTAATCACCTCAAGTCTATACAACTAAATTGTAGTGTTTCACTCCTGCACTGACACCACCCTGATATTCTTTGCTTTCAATAAGCGTGCTTTTGTCACGGTTAACGGGCCTCTTAGTTTGTCAGTTGGGTGTTGTTTACTCTCTCCTCCACAGAGGCTCAAAGGGGCCTGGCGAGAGTGAGTGCAGGCGCAAAAATTTGGGTTTCGCGCCTGCGCTATTTTTGCGCGGCGGAAATGCAACAACACGTCATTGAACCTCGGTGGAGTAGTGAGGGTTGTCCTTGCAAGAAATATTTTTTTGCTTTAAAACAGAGCTTCTGCCCAAGAAAGCACCGACATGGACAGAAGAGAAATTCCAAACGCGTCCGCCATTTTGGACCAGCGCCTTAAAGATATTGAGTACGATAAAAACGAAAGGCCTGAGGCTGGAGGTAGTTTTCTTACTGATGTAATTTTTCGAAGAAACACATCAGGGGTGGATACATGCCGAGGGGTTCTGTGGATGCTCCCCTTGACTTCTCACGGGATACACTCCACCCTTCGTATCCCACTGATGTAAACATACCCCACCGACTCCTGTCAACATCCCACACTTGCCCCTAAACTGTTAGCAACAAGTTTACAGAATAGAGGGAACATATTTTCATACTGGCAGCAGACGTTCGAAAGGGAGGGGAAAAAAACAGGCCCGCTAGAACGCGAAGAGGGCGCAAGGGAGGAGGGAAGGCAGCGTTCGTGTTTTGCGTCCTCATACAGTGCCCGATCCAGACCTTGAGATAAGGGAGGAGTGGGGGAACGCGGTCAGCGAAAAATTTTGTTTTCGGCCCTTGGGCCTCAGTTTGGTCTTAAAATAAGAGGGGGACGCCCCCACTCCCCGGGCCTCTGCCCTGGATCCGCCACTGTCACGCGACCGACTTCCTTTTCCATCTTTCTTTCAAACGCCTGCCACGCCACACTTACCCAATATAGGAACACAAAGCACAAAATGTACGGGTAGTACATAGAACTTCTTACTACAGAAAACATCACGGATGTCGCGATACCCAGAGCACTAGACTTGAAAGTCCTTGGTTCAAACCCTGATCACCAAGAGCTGGAGTATTATTCCACTGTTGAGCCAAAAGTTTAAATCTGCGATGCCATGTGTAAGTAATAGTCATCTGCTGCGGTAAGGCGTACAACGTGGGATTTGTCCCTGTAGTTTGAACCGTCTGCCTCTGAAAATCTCCGATGTTCCTCTTCTTTCTCAGGTACAAAACGATACCGTTATAAAAGAGAACTTTTAAACCACCTGTCTCGAGAAATTTGAGTAAGTCGCGGCGGCAAAGAAGAACTTTCATAGTCGCAGTTAGAGAGAATTCCATCACAAGAAAACCTCATCATTTTCTTGTTAATTAGTTACCACTGCACAAGACCTATCTCACTGGGTGACTATAGTGAAACCGGGTTACCTGTTGCTCTCGTGCGCTTTTTCATTTTACCCATGCGTTTTTGACTCTTCCAGGCAAACCTGTTAAAGTATACCTTAGCATGGCTATTCAGTCATTTACAAATATAAAGGAATCAAATATGGTGAGTCTACTTTGCGCCTTGATTATTACTTGTTGCATAAAATTTCGAGCATGACCAGCAGTACTGACTTTAAGTTTTACTCCATTTTTATCTGTGGAATCTCATTAATATGAGGTGATTTAATTAACGTAGATGACATCATAAGAGTCATGACTAAAACGCTTGTCAACTGGTACGTTAAATCACTGCATCTTTGAACAATTATGCCTGGCTGCGTTTTATTCGAGGACATCGACGTTAATTAACGGCCACCTCAAACAAAAGACATTCACCTTATAAAAAGGAACCGTTGTACTATAATCCTCTCCACAAATATCTCCTTGCCCTCTCGTGTATCTCGTGTTAACGTATCACTGTGATAGAATGTTGAATGTTTGGTTTTTGCTGTAATTCGTCTATCACGTCAAGAACCTACTGAGCCTTTCAAAGCTTTTCAAGACAAAATCAATTGGCGAAGATCTCTTGACCAATGGTTTGTCGATTTTGTTGCAGGAATTTACAACGTCAATGTATTTGCGTCAAGAATGGAAGGATTGGAGACTAGCACATCGCTTAGACGGCAGCCTACCAGTAAAAGGCAAAGATACAGAGGATATATGGCGACCGGATACTTACTTTACAAATAATAATGACTACAAGTTGTACCAGAATAACCAACTGGCTCTTATATCTAAATATGGAGACGTTTACTACAGTGCAAGGTAACGCACAGATTGCGTATAAAACAACTTCACGCTTATCAACTGTTTGAAACCAGGCTTTTTTTTCAGTAAGCTATAACTCCGACTGATCAATGAGCTATTTTTTTTTTGGAAAAGGCAATTACTAGCACGTCAGTCATCGGAGCCCTTATATACAAACATGATACAATCCCAGAAAAAGCCGCTTTTTCGCTTCAGGCTTAGACCGTTTGTGGGTTAGGTGACTTAAACTAGCTAACTCAATCTGTTTAAATACAGTAACTTTGAACAACACAAAGCCAATTGGGCAAAAAAGTTTTTGATTCAATTCGAACCTAATTAGGTCCACAAATCAGCCAATGTCATTTGCGTTCTAGCCACAATTTCTGAACACTTTAAGACACGATTAAAGACACAATTTTTGTACAGTTAAACATTGACTTTTTTTACAGAAAAAAAGCAATGAAAGAAGTGACTTATACGTAGGCAGAAATAAATCTTGCTTATCACTGACCTTTACGCAAAAATGTCTATTTCGATGCGGAATAATTAAGAAATCCTTTTGCTCTTTATATAGGCTATTTGTTGTTGCATCATGTCGCATGTACCTACACAAGTTTCCAATGGACGTTCAGAAATGCAGTATAATACTGGAAAGTTGTAAGTATCAATAGACAATTTAGTTTTCTTACTTCCAAGCTCTGGACTCCGGATTCCAAGAACTGGATTCCGGATTCCAATCGTTGAGGGGATTCTGGATTCCTTGAGCTGAATTCCAGATTCCAAAACCCAGGATTCCGGAATCCACAAGTGAAAATTTCCTGGATTCCGGATAACCTTACAGGCGGCGAATATGCTACAAAAACTTTAGCCTTCTGTATGTTGAACTTGGGATAAATTGCACTCGGTGGAACACTGTTCGCGCACTCTTCATTTCGTCCAGTGTCTCTTTTCTTCTCTTGCTTGGGGGACGGGAAAAAGAGAGTCCTTGGATGTGAGGTCTTTCCTGGCGTTTTTCACCCTCGTCTCCAAACTCCTCAGCGTTTTTCTCCAAGTTATTTATTTCCTTGGCCATGCGAACAATAGAAACCGCGAGAGAATGTGCGAGAATGTGCGCTGTGAACACTCCATTTACTCGACTCGTTTTACCCCAACAACGAAATCTTTCTCGAGTGAACAGAGTTTAAGAGTTTTTGTTTATCTTCTTAAGTCGCCTATACATTAGATATGGTGGAATACCGCTGGAAGAATCACGAGCCCGTTAAAATCCTCGATATGGAACTTGCAGAGTTTGATTTGACCAACACGGAGTACAGAAGTGAAGAAATCGAATATGTAGCGGGTAAGCTATTGTTATTGCTGCAATGTAAACTTTGATCTTGTCCTCCTTGGTCCTTTGGTCTCCTTTGGTATATTATAGCAAGATTCTAATTGTTGGACCCTAAATGGATTTTAATCTTTGGTAGTCAATCTTGAGGGTGAATCCAGAACAATCAGAAAGAGGGGACCGACGTTTGGACATAAAAGAACTCTTGGGAACATCGGTGCCCAGAAATTAAGGCTCTTGAAAACAGACTTCAAGGCAGTTTTAACGAAATTTTAGTCAAAAAAGGGGAGCGTGCACACCTCGCCCCTCTGGGTAAATTTGAAGTCACTGACGGTAGAGTACACAGGGGACTAGAAAAAGACCTGAACACTCGGTCTGGAGTAAGGGCAAGACTATTAAAACTATGTCGCTTGCCAATTTTCAGAAAGACCCAATTAAACGATATTATTGTTACAGATATTATGCATAGAAGGTTGGAAAAAAATTCTGTTTCGGGTGTAGAGAGTTGATCAGTAGTGTTTCACTGGAGTTGGACGCAGAAAGGAGAGAAAGATTAAGCAAATGCAACTTTTGTTTTTAACTCACTTAGGTAAATACCGAGACATGATAGTCACATTCACATTCAGCAGGAGAATCGGTTATTATCTGATCAATTTCTATGTACCTTGCATAATCATGGTCATAATGAGCTGGATCGTGTTCTGGATGGATCGTAACAACATCGGAGACCGAATCGCCCTCGGAATCACGACCGTGCTCACGATTGTCTTCTTACTCGGGTCGAGTAACAGTACAATGCCACGAGTAAGCTACCCGAAGGCCATCGACTGGTATCTCATGACTTCGTTCATCTTCGTGTTCACGACGCTGACAATGTGCCTGCTGATCTTCCGATTTGACCGACAAGTGAGCAAGCGCCAAAAGCCTCCAAGATCGGTCAGCTGTGATACTCATACAGATGGAATGCAGGTAAGTTCACCATATCTCGAAGGTCCCCAAAAGTGTTCTTCGATCCCGTAATCCCGACCTAAAAGTTCGTGCAATCCCGTAATCCTGAGGGTTATTTCCGGCATTCTAACTCGCGCGTATACTTTCAATCCCGAATATTGCCCGATTTTGCTTCAAAATCCCGAATCTTGAGCTTCAAATAAGGGAAATCCCGTATCCCGAAAAACCTATTGTTGACCCTCTATCTCGTGTCTCGCCCAAAAGAGTTCAGGCTCCGGTTGTTCAAAACTTGGATAGTGCTATCCACCGGTTAAATTATCAAGTGGACAAGTATTAGGGAAACCAATTGCGTTATCCACTGAATAGTGATTTTTCCACCTTTAGAACAATTAAGGCCTGCAGGTTTGAGGTTAATTGATCTTGAGAAAACGCCATAACACACAACAAACACACTTTCCTTTGGTTCATTCATGGAGGGACAACATCATCATGTACCAATCTGGATAGTGATTTTTCCACATTTAGAACAACTAAGGCCTGCAGGTTTGAGGTTAACTAATCTTGGGAAAACGCTATAACACACAACAAACGTACTTTGCTTTGGCTCATTCATGAAGTGACGTCATCAGGTACCAATCTCCCAGCGCGCGGTTAGGTTTGCCACAAGTGACTGAAAAATAGGCGGGAAAATAAGGGAAACGATCGAGTGCACAAACACTTTTTTAGTGATTTTTTTTTGAAAGGCGACCAAATCAATTATCTGCCCATGCTACTGTAAGTGTTTTAGCAATATGCTTGTTTCATTTTGTGTTGTAGAATTACAGTTGACTCCCGATAACTCGAACCCTCGCTAACTCGAACTTTACACAAACTCGATTTCCCATGGATCTCCGTCATACATTTTACTGTAATTTTACCCTCGGTTACTCGAAACATGTTTGAGCCCTCAAAAAGTCGGGAAACAACAGTGTACTGGCGCACGAAACATTGAATTTTGAATTTCCCATTGACGTGCTGTAGGCATATCGTTTAATAGTAGAGGCTGATGTTGTTTGTCACAAATATAACGTGAAACAGCTTTACTTCTCAAAAAGTAAAACGCATGCTCCATTTAGACAATAGGCTGATTTAGCAACAGAACGGGAACGTCATTTCATGACGGGAAAGCGCGCGAAAAGGACTAAACTCGCTTTCCGGTTCTCAATTTCGCGCTCTGCTATTGGTCCAGCCAGTTGTTTAATTTGCGCGCGCCGTTGTCAACTGACGTTCCCGTTCTGATGCTAAATCAGCCTAATGTTTTGTTACGTTACGTTACGTTCTGATTTATAATCTAGAAGTGTCTTTCAATTTTCACTTAACATTTCTACAATTAAATGTGATTAAAATTTTCACTGTCTAGTAAAAACTGTGTTTTCCTTATTCCCGGCTATCTTCTTCGAGCTCCCGGTAACTAGAGCTTTTCTTCGGTTTCCCTTGAAGGTTCGAGTTGTCGGAAGTAAGTCGAGAGTATATTACAGGCTGCCATTGTCCCGCTTAAAACAGCCATCACACTGCGCATGAGCAAAATGCAGTTATCTGAAGGTTATCTCACTTTTTTGTTCACGTCAGATGATTGAGGAACCGGAAACTCGCAGCCGTGCATCTTACTATGTTGCTGATTCTCATGGGGCCGTGTATCCCATCGTCCGTAGCGTGTCGGGTCTCAAGTCAAAAAATATCTTGAAGCCAAGTTTTCTCAAGAGGATTTGCGGCCTACCGAGTCACATTACCAAAGATACCCTGGGGATAGCGTTAAACAACTTCTGTAGAGTGTTATTTCCTTCAGCGTTTTTGCTGTTTAATCTGATATACTGGTTAGTTATAGCTACATAGTATCATTCGGCTCTCAGCGGCGAAATATTGGATGACCTTGAACTTACAGAGGAACCTGGCTGTAGGAGATTCGAAGCAACTGAAATCGCCGGATAAATCTGCTAGCAATGAATTTCATTTCAAGAGTGAGCCATGACGAAACATTCATCGGTACCACGAACAATGACAGACTTGATCGTTTATACTTTTGTTGATGAATTTTTCCTTGTTTGAATACAAATACATCACAGCCTTTGAACGACAACAGAAAGACTAACTGTGGTCATGTTAACTGTGACCAAGCTGCAATCAATAGTTTTGAGTGATTTTTTCCCAAACACCCCTGAATGAGATTATATTATATTGATACCAATACTTCCGTTGAAGTTTTAAACGATACGAAATCTTGGCGACAGTGCCTTGTTAAGTTGTAAACAGACGTCAATGCAAGGAAAAATGAGATTTTCTCCTACCAACTCCCATTTTTCTGGATAACTATGCGGCAACCATCCCGTTCTAAATTCTTAACTATTTTAATAAGTACCTTTTCTGGGGAGGCGGTCACAAAGATTTACTAAGGTTATCTCCACAAATGTTTCCTTTCCCAACGTCCTTTTTATCATAGAATTTAATGAGTGGATTGTTTGGGTCGTGCCGAAAACGTTTCACCGATACGTCAGTATGAGTCCATGTTTGGGCCTGGGTTTCTGAGAAAAAAGGCTTGGTTATAACCTCACATTGATTATAGATTTAAATAAAATTTACATCCTGTAGCGTTGTTTCTAACAGTTTGTTTTTTGAAAGACCACTTGCCAGTAAAGTCGACCAGGGAAACGAAACATTTTAAGGGGATTGCCTTATACGTTGTCTCGTTGTATAGCTGGAGATTTTTTCCCAACAGCGCGCTCTCATTAGTTACTTCGAGGTCAGATATCTAACAATGAAACCGTTTCTCGCCAAAATCTGTGAGCGGGCAACATTGCAAAATCTATGACGTCAGAGGGTAACAGTGCACCGTTACTCGCGAATGTTGACCTTTGACCGCCGTTACAGCGAGGTTTAATGAATTTCCAGCTTAAAAATTTCCAGCTATGTAACAAATCACTTAAAGACTGGTAACTCGGTCGAATCAAGTGTTTATTAATAAAACTAACTTTCATGTGTATTCGCACTTTAAAACTGTAAGGCGAATTGTAAAATGCAAACAACGCAGTAGGCCAGTTTTCGGTAATTGTATTTAAAAAATGGACTATGAGCTATTGTTGTTACGTTGTCACGAATTGTAAAGTTTGAATCATTAGTTCTTTTATCCTGCTTTAGCTAGATACGTAGATTTTCGCAAGGAACTTTGCAACTGAAATAAGCACGTTATTACTGCCTAACGTGTGCTTTTATCAGTTGATCGTTGTTTATAGCCCACTGAAATAAATGTTTGGTAAATGACATCTTTTTTGTTTTGGGTAATCAATGAAAAAGGACGAGTAGAATTTTACCTATACTTTCCGTGCTTGTGTTGTAAATGTGAGAAACATTTTCTGAAATAAATCACTAGAAAGGATCAAGCGTTGCATCAGTTCTAGTTGATAATCAAAGTCTGCACGATTTTTTTGTTTTGTAAGCATCTTTCGGTTTTAGCGCCTGCACTCACTTCGTGCAGTAGAAATCCAATAACGCCCCATCGAACCTCGGCGGAGGAGAGAGGTTCTTTCCACCCCTTAAAAAAGGTGACGAGTTCGGTGCGCCATCGAAAAAGTTCGTTTTCTTCCTTTATATTTCTCTCTCCGACAGATGTCAGAGAAGGTCGGAAACACATTAGCATTATTTCATCTCTCCGCGATTGAGTGTTTTCGTGTTTAACCAAGATTCCTATGTACCACGGCTTCACTTTAATGATACAAGATGGGCGTCAACCCTGCCTGCTAACTCAGCTATGGCTCGTTTAAGACGAGGAGGATCCGTGAAAAAATATACAAACAGTTCCCTTTCCATGAGTTTTAAGCTATCCGATCGGAGCACCTGGAGAATAAAATAAAATAAAACTGGTGTAAGGCAACAAGAAGAAAATAATACCACTTACCACAAACCAAAACTCTGTAGCAGCATTACTTGTATACCTTCTTCTTGGACTCGCAGTCTTTTATGATGTCTTTTATGGACTGTTCCAGTGTTACAAGAAGTTCATCCAACTGCCTAAGGCCATCCGCTATACACTATAATATAATAGATAAACAAATAAATAAGCATTAAATCTATCGATGAATATAGGAGGAAGCGAGCTCGACTGGTATCATTTAACCCCCCTCCCCCAACCTCCCCCCGCCGCCCACCACAACAACACTTATAAATAGCCACTGGTACGATACATACTGGGTTACCCATGCGCACCGCACTGTTTAAGTAAGGATCTTGGATTGGTGGGTGTTTTGGAGGACGAGACTACTACATTCTCGCTTAAACTCGTCGTAGAATGACGACGGCTATCACGTTTTCCCGCCAAAACGACGCTGGCACTTCAGTCGAATCGCCACTAACGAGAACCACTGCGAGTACGAGATTTGATCGAAAGGTTTATTCGCGTATTGATAAAAAACTGTACTCCCCGGCAAGCTCCATTTTACTATTAACACCAGAAAAGTTTAAAAAGGTTAATTTTTATTGAAGGAGGCTAAGCCCTCTCCCGATCGCAAAATGATAAAACTTCTCATGTTTGATGACTTGTTGCCTCCACTACGACATTCTCGCTTAAACTCGTAGCAGAATGACGACGGCTATCACGTTTCCCCGCCAAAATGACGCTGGTACTGCAGTCGAATCTCCACTAACTGTCATCTCTCCGCAACGACCACTTTTTTTGGCGGATAGTCCATACATCGACTCTTGTTTAAACCTCTCTACAATGGCCACCTTTCTACAATGATCACTTTCTTCTGTCCCTCCCTAAGGTGATCGTTGTGGAGAGGTTCAACTTTATTTAGTATTGAATGAAAATCTCGTACTCGTAGTCGTTTTCGTCTTCTTAGAATGTAAACAAACCTGGGGACTTAGTTGTGGTAGACCTCTTGTTGTTGTAGATTCCCCATAAACTGTCTTCGCACACTGCTGAAGGTTATGCTCTCTAAAACAAGAGAAAAAGAATGGATATAGCAATCCAAGAAGCAGTCCAAAATCTACAGTCAGTAGAAAAATATGCTCTATAGAAATAACACTTCTAAACAATGTGTTCTTGGAATGGGATTTAAACATGCGGCCACGTGATCACGCTGCGCATCGTGCCAGCACCTGATACATGTATTTACATGCAATCTAGAGAGAATAAAAGGAGCAAATTTAAATTAACGTACAGTTGTTTCCAAGCCTCCTCCTGTTTGCTGCCCGAGGAAGACAGGGACTGCGTCAAGGACTCGAGCTGAGCTGCTAGCTTCTGACTCCATTCCACTAACTGACTGAAAGCCAAGAAAATTTCTTTTGTCCCATCTACCTCCCCCTTGGGCGAGCTTTCAAGTACGCGGTAGAGTCTTTCCATGAAGTGATCTCGGCTATCAATAGTTCCCCTGGAGGGGTGGGGTGGTTGAGCAGCATATTCATCCATCACTGCCTGAGATGAGTTAAGAAAAAGTCCTTCCTGATACGTTTAAAGTTGGTTGTAGTTAGATCCCACGTACTTGAGCAAAGTTAACTGTATTTAAGCTAACATTAGCGCTTCTTCATTAATCTGTAAATGTATCGACTATGCAAACCGCTTAGAGTAAAGGCTGATTCATCGCATGCTTAATTTATCGGAGCCTGAGAAAAGAGCCGACATTTGACGATGCCACCACTGGTTTCCTAGTGAAATGACGTCTGACGAAAGACTGCAGAAATTTTATACTAATGACGTGTCACTTCCCAACTCTGGGTAGTGCTTCTGATTGGTTGAAGCAAATTTCTCTTGCGGCACAACCAATCAAAAGCACTAGCCAGGTCGGAGTAATGCCACGTCATCAGTATGGAATTTCTGCGCCCGTTCCACAGACGTCATTCGGCGGGGAAACCAGTAGTTGGGTCGTGAAATGTCGGCCGTTTCTTCAGGCTAAATTTGCCAGAGCCGTTTTTTGTGTAGTTATACAACATTCCTCACCAGAGGAAGAGGGGAAGAGCGTTGCGTGAAGACAAAATAGCGGCTGCATAGTAGAGTAAGCTTACATTTTGACCTACCAAAATCTGCAATGACTTACGACAATATTATAATGTAGTGGTATTGTTTCTAAACAGTGTGCTAATACAGTAACAGGGTTAGCGGATAATGTCGAGTAATGAGTGAATGATGATAGCAGGATACATAGCGAGATTCAAGTCCCTTGACTGAGTCCTCAAGTGTGCTCTCTAAAGTGCTGAATAAACGGTGAGTGTTGCGATTTTTACGGCCTTCAACTTCAAGAGCCATCGAAAGAAACTCATGACGGGAACGCTGAAGCAAAAGTTGAGTGATAACCTAAAGAAAAAATAATAAAAGGTTTTTAGACAAACTATCATTTTTGCCTAAAAGGGGAGTCTTCCTGCTTCTCACAAACACTACTTCTTCTTTCTTATCATCAGCTACAGCCTCTCTGTGCTGTAATAATTCAACACTTTTCTTCCTTTGTTTATCCTAGATCCTCTGTCCTCTTCCCTTTCCAGCCACACTACCCCCCCTCCCCAATTACACCCCCGCTACTCTACAACTATTTCTTCAGATGTTTTGCCCAGATACCTGATCTTGCTTGGATGTGAAGTAATCCTGTCTTGCTATCTTCAGTTCATAGTCCCCTTTAAGGATACTTGTGGCTTGTAGCTCTCCCAGCTCCTGTACCAGCCCAGGCAGCACCTGCTCAGAAAGTTCCCCTATCTCCATTTTGACTTGAGAAAGAGCCTTTTGAACTTCAAGCAGTTTGGCACTAATCAAAATAACAATGAAAAAAAAGAAATCACTTTTAGGGTGGCCAGCAGATCAATATTTTTTGTCGTCACATGAAAAGCTTAAAACCAATTAAAAGCAACTGTCTAAAAGCACTTGAACAATTGAACAAAATATTTTTTTTGAGTGCAGCCATAACCAGTTACATCATTGTTCCCATCACTGTAAAAATAATATCACAGAAATTAAAGTCTTACAAGAAGATATTTGTATAGGGGGTATGTTAGGTCTCTCACCAGTCTTTTTTGCCCAATTATTATCCCTGTCTGATTAACTGACATTGTGCGCACACTCCACTTTATGTATGATATATTTCATTATCACCTTAGTTTCTCAGTGCTTAGAGGGCTTGTCTCCCATGATAAACTTTTCAATCTTTCCTCTGCTGCTTTGAGCGCTGTGCTTACTCCCATTGCGGCAGCCATGTTATGAATTCTTTTACTTTCACTTGAAGCATAACTGCAAGGTTATAATAGCTTATTAAGGCATTCACGTANTTGAACAAAATATTTTTTTTGAGTGCAGCCATAACCAGTTACATCATTGTTCCCATCACTGTAAAAATAATATCACAGAAATTAAAGTCTTACAAGAAGATATTTGTATAGGGGGTATGTTAGGTCTCTCACCAGTCTTTTTTGCCCAATTATTATCCCTGTCTGATTAACTGACATTGTGCGCACACTCCACTTTATGTATGATATATTTCATTATCACCTTAGTTTCTCAGTGCTTAGAGGGCTTGTCTCCCATGATAAACTTTTCAATCTTTCCTCTGCTGCTTTGAGCGCTGTGCTTACTCCCATTGCGGCAGCCATGTTATGAATTCTTTTACTTTCACTTGAAGCATAACTGCAAGGTTATAATAGCTTATTAAGGCATTCACGTAAAGAGGTGTAAAACCAGCAAGAGCTACATCGTGTAAATCTGCACCTTTCTAAAGAACATTGTTAAAGATAGTGTAGAATTAATACATAGTAAAGCAAGAAAAAAACCCTGAAAGTTTTTTAAGTTGGTTACACAGGACACCCAGGAATTTTACAGGATTCCAACAAAAAGCATGTGTTCACCTAGTGTTGAACAAACACACAATAATAGGTAAATAAATAACTCACGTTCATTTAACACTTTCACTGCCGGAGTCAGTGATTCATAGAAACAAGGTTGCATTGTGTACTGTTGATTTAGCTGTATACTTTTAAAGATGATATAAAATCAAAGAATTCACTTACACAGTTTGTAGTCTTGCAAGTTCTTGACAGTCATTGAAGTTGACTTCATTGTTTTCCCCTAATAAATGAGAAAAGTTGAACCTCTGTTAACGTATGCTTCAATAAGCAGACAACTGTAACAGTTTTCAGTGCCATACTTGATGCAAGTGGTTCAAAAAAGTGCCTCATTCTTGTGGAGATGTGATTATTTCCTTGACCATTTTAATCGCCATTTAGATTGATTGGACATTGATATGATGTAAGGGTAATGTTTATGCTAATTTTTGTTCTCACCTCTAACTAGAAGTGTTGAGGGATCACTGATTTCCAGTAACTCATATCTTGATTTTTCCTCTCTACCAGCCATCTCTGCTATACCCTACATGTATGAAAAAGTTATGTTGCATATCATTGGCTGATGTTCTTCTTAAGATCCAGTGATCCAGTGGCTACTGTGGTGTACAACGTAAACTCGATATAACAAACCTCTATAATGAAGTCCTCGGCTTAACAGATGATTTTCTTTGTCCCAATAATAGTAAAATACAGTGAAAAAGAACCTCGATATAACAAAACTTCATTATAGCGAACAAAGTTTGCCAGTCCCTTGGCCCTTCGTTATCGAGGTTCCCCTGTACAGGTCTATCATCATTATTCTCATTGCATGAATACATAATTAGCCCATGATGTGGGAAGTAAGAAACTCCTTTAAATTTCATTGTGTTGGGCCTGCACGCATAGCAACGGTAAAACCCTTTATTTTAGCTTCAAGTGTTTATAACTCAACATTAAACCAGTTTAAGAATCCCTAATCCCACCTAGAAGGGCTCCATTATTCTAATGGAGGGTTCCCTCAGCATTTCGTACTTGTTTGTTACTAGTATCTGCCATGGTCTTATTGGAAAAAGTTAATACATGTAGTTGCGCTTTTAACACTAACTATCAAGTCATACCTCAAAGAACTGTTTCCTTGTGTAAGCGGTAAGTTCTCCGGTGAATCGTTCCTCAGATTCATAGTAATTGTCATAGGACAGTTGTGATAAAAATGTCACAGAGTAAGGAGAACCTACAGAGGTGTCATAATATAACTATCATTGTCATGTAGCAAAAGATGTTCAAGCAGTCATAACAATAACGAGAAGAATGGTGTATGTGAGCACCTCACTCCCTTAAGTGAACAGGCCATGAAATAGTTGAAGCAAGGAGAAAAATATTGTACAAGTGAGTATGTGCCTGATCGGGTTTGTCCCTGTACTCGTGGCCTGTTGGGCTGAAGGCACAGTAACTGTTGTCTGCTATAGCTCAAGGAGTGAAAAAATTAATATTAAGGATTATTTGCATTTCATTTCCTAACACATTGCAAGATAATTAGAAAGAAAACTACCCTTGGCTGTAAAATTAATTTAATTTAAAAATTGCACTAGCATGATATGTTGTAGGTTACATGAATATACACTGTATATTTTAAGGATAATCCAGAATTTCCCTTTGTCTCCTATGAATAAATAGGATGAGGAAACAAAGGGTATTCTGAATCCGACAAGGTTGAACACCTACATTGACACTAAGGAAGGATTTTACTTACAACAGATATACATGTACCTTCTTGTCCAGAGTATAATGCTGTCATTTCAGAGACAGACTGCTCTAACTTCTCTAATGCAGAATTCATCTGAAACAAACATAACATGAACATCATGTAATGATTTTATTATTGATAATAATGGTCAAAAGGTGATACTGATAATAAAGAAGATGATGGTGATGATAAAGACAATAATGACGATGATATTTAGTTTACGGAGAAAATACAATACACACAGATTTAATAGGATTTGAAATTCAATTCGATTCAACTTGGAATGCACAATACTTGAATAGATGTAAATTTATTCACACAGTACCTGTGTGTTGTCAGCTTGGCTGGTTTCAAGAATGGCTTTGTATTTTTGTTTGTTTTCCTGAACCACAGAACCTAGTTTTGAAAGCCTGTGAGTTATGCCAGCATGATGGAGGCTACAAGAAATGACAAAAACAGCTCTGAATTTTTACCACAATACAAACGAATGTAATTCTCTTTTAAATCTGCCCTCTTGGATCTTTTACAGTAAAAGATCTAAAATTTTTAAAATGTTCCCATATTTGTAAAGGCTGCCAGTGTTTTCACCCACATTTACAAGTGAACAGCTGGTCTAGATTGTGTCTTGCTTTCTGCTAGGGTGTTTTCCCTGAATTTTAGCTCAGCAGGTAAGGGACCATTCCTGACTGGTATCACAAAAAATATGCACCAGAGGCATACTGTCCTGTGTGGGCTGCTAAGGTTGTTTCCCAAATCAGGCCTCTACCGCTAGTTTTCAAAGTACCAGATTGTAATTCCATCAATATTATTATTGGGGATGAGTTTAATAAGGTATAAAATAACTATAGTAGTTTGATTACTGCCAGAACAATCGCTTTCTCTGTACATGTACCTCAATTTGTTCCTCTGTGAAACAATTTTTTGGAGTCTTTGCTGTATCAGCTGCACCTCTGTCTGCAGGGAGCTGACCTCATTTCTGTGAAAGAAAGATGTTTTCAAGGCTTTAGAGCACAGGGGAAAAAAATGAAGAAATAATAACTTTTGAATAGTTTTTACCTGTAATGCAACATCAACATTAGACTCGAACCTGTTTGTAAAACTTTGGCAGTAGAAAGAAGATGTTTTGTTATGCTGAAAGGTTTTTTAAGTTGTTAAAACATGTACTGTTCATATAACCATGTAGATAAATGTAGACAAGCCTGGCCATGAAATTAATTTTTTGAGTGTTCACCAGGTGCTAAACCTATAAATTTGACTTTTACTTTACTAATCAAATGATTTTTCCCAAATTTATACCTCAGAGTTTCGTTTGAAAACTGTTCGTCGTCTTGTAACAACACAGAGAGAGTCTTGTCAATTTGTTCATTCTGCAGTAAACAAACGTTTTAATAAACAACACAATAATATCATTACTAAAATATTAATTGTGTCCCCATAACATTCTGGCAAGAGATTGAAAGAATGTGCCAGCTTTTAAATACTTCAAGAGTGAGCAGCATTTTACTTCTCCTTACTGTCACACTACTCAGTCAAGCATCAATAGTTTGTATGACAAACGGAAATGATCAGTGACTGAAAAAGGTATTGATTGTTGAATATATTCTCCTTACTAGTACAATCGCAGGGTTGTCAAAATGCACCAGCAAATGGCGCTATCACCAGCTACTTTAAGGTTTTTGGTTTAGGGTTCCCTAAAACATCCCCAGTGATATGTGTTCCCCACCTAGAAAACACATATCTCTAGTGATATGTGTTCCCCCAACTGGGAAACACATCTCCCTAGTAATATGTGTTCCCCCACCCGGGAAACACATATCCCTAGTGTTATGTGTTCCCACACCTGGAAAACACATATCCCTAGTGATGTGTGTTCCCCCACCTGGGAAACACATATCCCTAGTGATATGTGTTCCCCCACCTGGGAAACACATATTCCTAGTGATATGTGTTCCCCAACCTGGGAAACACCTATCCCTAGTGATGTGTGTTCCCCCACCTGGGAAACACATATCCCTAAAGATATGTGTTCCCCCCACCTGGGAAACACATATCCCTGGTGATATGTGTTCCCCCACCTGGGAAACACATATCCCTAGTGATATGTGTTCCCCCACCTGGGAAACACATATCCCTAGTGATATTTGTTCCCCCTCCTGGGAAAAACATATCCCTCGTGATATGTGTTCCCCCTCCTGGGAAACGCATATCCCTAGTAATATGTGTTCCCCCATCTGGGAAACACATATCCCTAGTGATATGTGTTCCCCTACCTTGGAAACACATATCCCTAGTGATATGTGTTTTCTAACCTGGGAAACACATACAACCCTGCGATAGGAAAGGTATGGAGAACAGTGTGGAGAATTAGCAGGCGGATATGACTGTTACTAGGCAGAATTAAATTAATTTTTTAACTTTGGTTGATTCTCTGTTTTCTTTGCCTCAGAATTAGGGTAGGAGAAAAAGGTAGTTGAGAATTAACCCAGAAACTTATTTTGAGCTGAAGAAGATAAAAGGAATAATATTAAAAGGTTTATATTACTATTGTTTGTTTTTAAAGGAATTATTTTCATCTACAGTGTAATGATCTCTAGATTATTTCTATATTAATAAAGTAACTTCAGTACGTCAAGTTACTTACTTCAAGAATTGAAGCTCCTGATGAACAAAGTTCATCAAATCTACAAGCAAAGTACAAGGTTGAGTTACTAAAGGTGATGACAAAAAATAATTTGACATGGAATCTCCGAGGAAGGCTATCACAGACAAAGAAATTAACATTAAATTACATTTTTAAACAAAGGGTGGCCAATTTTTCTCATGTTAATTGATGTCAAATTCAGTATGTACCAGTCAATTCCAAAACCACTTATCCTCCCCTAGGGTATACCCTGGGCATTTGACAGGAGTTTTGCTCCATACAGTGGGGAATTTGATCCAAAATAAGGCCGCCACGGAAGGATTTTGTAATTCTTTCCACATTCAGCATGTGCACCGCATTTACTGGTCATTGCTCCTCTATTTCACTGTCTTGTTTGAGACGATCATTTGAGAGCCTTTGGAAAAGCCTGTTAAATGTGGACTTTCTGGAATGAATAATTTCATTTAAATTTAATGAACAAACCTTTCCGAGACAACTTTCCAAGACTTTAGAGGCCAGTGGGGCATTTGACCATCTAACCTGCCAACTTACATATCCCGCGGAATTTGACCAAAATTTTTTAAAAAAGTGAAATGCCCGTGCTTTCAGTGTTATCAAGAAATGTAATTTTTATGGCTTACTTATTATCGTTTGGCTGTTTTGTTTTTGTTTCTTTGCATGTCAACGTGATTGCAATTGGTGTAGGTATACAGTATTTTGGGGGAAATTTGGGAAGACCTGCTCTGGCCTTCTTAGAGAGATCTATGAACTCGTTTGAATACACAAGTATACAAACTGAAAACTCTAGAGTACTTTCTCAGTGGCGTAGCAATTATAAATTTCCTGAGTCTAAATTGTTTCATATATACCTGTTTAAATCCTCTTGTGATAGCACATTAGTTTCGTGTATATTTTCACAAAACCATTCCAGAAAAGGCACAAGTGATTCACAGTCGAACAACNTCTCAGTGGCGTAGCAATTATAAATTTCCTGAGTCTAAATTGTTTCATATATACCTGTTTAAATCCTCTTGTGATAGCACATTAGTTTCGTGTATATTTTCACAAAACCATTCCAGAAAAGGCACAAGTGATTCACAGTCGAACAACCACTCAAGACTGTCACCTTCGAACTCTTCAGCTTTAGGATAACCAATTCTCGATAATGCCCGCACAAACCTCTTTCCCTGACTCATCTTATCAGAGTTTGTCGAGTCTAAATAGATGATGGAAAACCTAAAAAACGTTGATTTGTTGACATTATCTCTTGGCGAGTCTCTCGGCCGCCATTTTGGGTTTCCCGCGCAGCTATTACGCATGTTCGTTACCAGCTTCCCGGAAAGAGAACTCTCGCCGCTTCTTCTTCCCCTTTGTTTTTTTTTCGGCCAAAAAGGTACATCCTTAAAAAGCTGTCCTTCATTTGGAAAATTTAAAGACAGTTGACTTTTGCCCTTTTTTTTCCCTAAAAAGTGATCTCTTGTTATCCCTGTGATGAAAGCAAAACTGAACTGCTACACGGGACGCTGGAGGGCGGGTAGCCTGAAGTTCAACCGACGTCGACTCGAGGTGACGGCTGAACGGGAGATGATTTAACTGACTTAGAAAAACACGAAGAGGGCTTACATGCAGCTTCCTCATTGAAGAGTGCACTATGTCTCTAATGGGTCACCCTACAGACTCAGTGCTAACCTGCGATCAGGCGTTATTTTTTTTTTTTCGTCTCCTAAACAAAAAGGGAAGAGGGACCGCCTGATCGCAGGTTAACTCAATGCAAGATGGAAAACAAAGTAAAAATCACCAGAACTTATACAATACAGTGTAACTATAATATTGTTATTATTTGCTTTACACGACAACTAGTGTAACTTGTATAAAGAAACAGACTGTATCATAAGTTACCGGCACCTGAAACACAGTTGTCTTCCGCTATGTTCATAATATTCCGGATAGTTTTTCCAGCCGCCACTAAACTGAGCTATCCGATATGTGACTCTCCACTTAAGAGATCGGCACAGCGCAGCTTCACTCCGTTATAGAAATCGCGCTAAAATCACCGTTCTTATGTGAGATCAGAAGCCCCAAAATTCCGGACCGACGCAAAAGCTATCCGGCATAGCGTGAACTAGCTTAATTAGTTAATATTAAAATACTATGGATATATGGAAATATTAATTACAATTACTTAGACAAAAGTATCGTTGGTCAAAGTTGCATTCAAAATTCCGACTGATCAGAATTTTTCTTTGCGATATGTGTGTTTCACTCCAGGGGCCTTTCCACGGACAAAGGGAGAGTAAAACTGAAACTAGTCAAAATTCCAAATTCCGTCTGAGAAGTCTGGACTACCTTTCAAGAAATATATTCGATTCGCGACCAGTAGCTTTTCCATTTTCCGTATTCTTTGCGGTTACATTCATAGAAGTCAGTAGGAAAAGCCAGCTGAGATAAATTTAAAAAAAAGAACACAAAGCGAGGCAAGTGAAATTTGTCATTCGGATATACATATTTCAGTAAACAAGACTTGGAATTTGTTAGTAAAAAGAGACAAAAAACGCAGCAAAAAAGTATCGATATACTCGTATTGTTTCTCTTAAAAATTTATTCGGACTCTGTCCTTAATCTTGAGAAGACGCAGCTGAACCATACAACATCCGGGCATCCTTAAGCATCAATTTACTGCTTGGATATGGCACATGACCAAAGTAGTGGAAATAAAGACCAGTTGACAGTGAGGGGGGTGTAGATACCGCAACAGACTGCCGCTTTCGCTGTTCTTTGCGCCATTTCACTCGTCTGTTTTTAAACCAGGTCTGTAAAGAAAAAAATTACTTTCAGGACAAATCTGATAAGTGTCGTATAACAACGAACTACAGTCGAATCCTGCTTTACTGACACGGCCGCTGAGTACGGATCGGACATGCACCTTGTCATTATACGGACAAGTTTCTTTGTCCCTGGGGAAAGCCCTTACATTTTATCTAATTCAACTCGCTTAATACCGACACCCCAGAGGACAATGGACACCTTTTTCTTGACTAATGAACAGATTCTCCTAAAAAGTCAACCTCGGCGTTAATGCAGACACTTTATTGTCCACTGCGTGCTGTAATAACGTTCTCTTTTGAAGGTAAAAAAATCTTTATCTGACATATAATGTCAATGTTCCCAGCCCCATAGTACACCAGATAGAATGACTATTTTTGACATCATAGGAGTTATGCAGAGCCGGAACGGTTTTTGATTACGTAACGTATAATGAGCGATTTTGTCGAGACTATTGAGCATTTTCATGGAATAGTCCAAGGAACAACGGCTTAGTGAAGTTTAGAGATAAGTTTGACGATGCAATTAAGTGTCCTGTTGTATTTTTGTAGTATTTTGATCTGAATAAAAAGTATATTTTTGACTTTAATAACATTACCCGCTTAATACGAACACCCCGTTCATAAAGAAACTGTCTATGGCCCCTTCGGTGTCCGTATTAACGGGGTTGACTGTACCATGGGCAATAAAATTTGATTACCTAAGCATCCAAGAAATTTTGGTTGTGAAAAATCGCCCGTCCGTACGTCCGCCCATACATATGTTAGAGGAGATAAAATGTTACACCAATAAGGCCTTACACACCACCTGTGTTTAACTTGATATTGGACATAAACTTTATGTTTAAAAGATAGCTGTCAAAATAGGGTACCTGCTGACCAGTGTCACATGATTGTATCATGGGCTCACGTGTATAACTCATTGTGACGAGTTCTTTTTTTTAAATTTCTTAAAAGATTTTGGCCTGGCTAAATCTATATTTTAGCTTAATCTACCTGAATTACTTCCTCAGTAATTCCCAGCTGTTGGGAGATTGACTCGCGTTTCTGAGGTGTGAGGTACTGAGACTCGCTAAATATCTTCTCCAACTCACGTCGCTGCAAAACAGTAAAATGAGTTCTTTTGTGGTGCCCTACTTTTGTTTGTTGATCTTGAGGCTGCACGGCTGTGAATAAAATGTGGTTTGCACTGAGAGTTAATTAGGCACGCTGTAATAATAAAAATGAAAAATAGCNATATCTTCTCCAACTCACGTCGCTGCAAAACAGTAAAATGAGTTCTTTTGTGGTGCCCTACTTTTGTTTGTTGATCTTGAGGCTGCACGGCTGTGAATAAAATGTGGTTTGCACTGAGAGTTAATTAGGCACGCTGTAATAATAAAAATGAAAAATAGCTAAACCTAACCCTAACCAGGTCAGTCAAAACTGGTGATGAGCAGCTTATCGCCAGTTTTGAATTAACAAGGTCTGTTTTACTTAATATGTGATATTTTTTGCATGGGATCACCTCCTTTCAGCCGGTCATCACTGTTGAAAGCGATTCTGAACTTTTCCGAAATTTCAGTTCAGGTAAAAAAAATTACGGCGTGATATCTGACTAAGTTAGTCAGATATCACACTTTAATTTTTTACCTGGACTGAAATTTTTCTCTCCTAACCTATAAACATATTGTTAAGGAGTCCGCACCAGGCGATCTTGTAAGCCCCAAATTTTTCAGTCAAGTTACTGAACGGTTGAATTTGAACGCAAAACTTCAGAATTAAGTTTGCAGTGAGACGTTTACAGAACTGAAGGCCGAAAAACGAATCAACTTGGCTCATTAAAACTTTAAAGAAAGTTCGTTATATCAAGCAAAACAGAACTTGATTTTGGTATTCAGGGGTTTATTACTATTATCAATTATATGTCAAGAAATTGTATTTATTACATTTTTCTCGGGCCGGTAGTTTGTGTTCAAAAAATTGGTATTTATTCTGCTCAACCCGACCGGTGAAAAAGAAAAAAAATTAGAGTCGCTCCTGTCTGACTTTGAAACCAGTTTCAGTGTAAAAAGCGCATGGTAGGCGTACCGGCTCACTCGAAAGATTTGTATACTGTAGCTAAAACGGCTGATTTTCGAGAAACATACTGATGGTTAAAAGTGGGCTATCATTTTGGAAATCAAGGTTTTATTCATAGAACCCAAATCGATCGTCAGTGATGAAAGTTTTCCTGATCACGACGATGCTCAACCAACGAAAAAGGTTTCCAGTTTGATTTACTCTTTTTTACTATTTTTTTTTATCTTCCCATTTGCTTCATGCTGAAAGAAAAATGAACGTTCCTTAGTGATTAATAATTAAATTAAATAATATACTATTAGAAAATACGAAGACTAATAAAGAATAGAAACAGGGTTACAAGTTTCTGCTTTTAGTGGTGCGGGAATAATTTTTGAAACTTTCCTGGATATTCGGCCATACTGCGCCAACTTTTAAGGTGATTAACAACAAACCTGGGTTAACGCCATCAGAGAGGTTCAATGGCTGCTGTTCAGGGTACAAAGTGACATTTTCTAGATGTGAAGCTGACAAGGGTCTGGAATATACATAAGTTGAACTGGTTGATGAAATAATATTCCTGCAGGAACTATTTGAACTAGTTGGAATGTAGTGAACGCTTGGAACGTACGGTACAAATGCCATTTGCTTCTCACAATCCGGAGTGGAAACTACTTTCTCAGTACAGTGAAAAGAATTTATACCTTTATTTTTCGTTTCTATACGCAAGGACAAACATGCAGCGCGTCACAGAGTTTGTTTGTTCGTTGCATTTAACGTAAGAGAAGCAACTGAAATCATTCCACGCCCATCATCCAATAATAGCATGTCGTTTTTATGGGGATCAACTTTCGATTATCCTTTCTTGTTTGTTTTCTAGTTGTCATAGAAACATAGCTTGTTACGTAAATGAAAACGCCCATTGCATTGTGGATGACTCTGGCCTATCTACTGACGCATATTACGTATTTGTTATTATCTGTTTAGGCTGTAGTTATGGTAATACATGCGATTTACATTGTTACTTATCTCTGAGGAAGTATATCTTAAGAAGAATGCAGTGAAACTTAGCATTAAATAGTTGAAATAATAAGCACTAAGATATTTAGAAAATCGCTATAACAAAAAGAGGCTAGTGAATAGTCAAGTCCTGACGCATGTTCAAAAAATTTCTTCCCTGGGTGTTGTTCATTTCTATTTTTGTCATAGTAACATATCACACGGAGTTCGTCACACCGGTGAGTCGCTTCGTTATTCATCAAAAAAAAAGAAAAAACTTATAGGTGCTTTTATAATAGCATTCAACATTTTTTACAAAAATCTGATACTATGACTGAAGCGTAGACTACAAAAACTACAAATGAATATATGAAAAACATCGCTAAGTTAGACTTGTAAAGGAGTAAATGAGTTCGTTTTCAGGCCGTGTTGAAGGAGTTTTAACCAAAAAACAGAGTATGAAACTGAAAAGCTTTCTGAATAGAAGGAAGGTAAAGAAACATCAGTTATTCTTGGAAAACTATATTTATCTTGCCGTTATCTGTATATCTAGTAGCTGTGGTAATGTGGCCAATTCATGCTTCCGGATATTTTTAGTACGAGATTCTGGATTTCGATCAAAAGTTAAACGCATTAGCCAAAGCTAGCCAAGATAAATAGTAAGAAACCCGGCTACCGTAAGATACTAATCACAGAGATTTTTGGTGAAACTGCGATCGCAGAGCCAGCACAAATAAAGCATATGAGACAAAAATAAATTTGCTGTTGTTATGTGTTTTTTGTGGTCGTTATGGTAACACTAGTACAGTTGAACCTCTCCACAACGGCCACCTTACGGACCGACCATTTAACTCTTGAGGCGGGGTGGGGGGGGGGGGGGGGGGGGTTTTTGGGTTCAAAGGAGTTTTTTTTTTGCGAACCTCGGGGGGGGGGTATTTTTTTTTCCTTTTTTTTCCTAAAACTTTTTTTTTCTTTTTTGTGTCTGTATTTTTTTTTTTTTCCCACAAGCGTGTGCGGGTTTTTTTTTTTTCAATTCCCCTTCCCCCCCTCTCCCCCCCCCCCACGTTTATTGCGCGTGCTCGATGAAGGTAGACAGGATAATAATCGAACTAAAAATTGATAAAAGTAGTAATATTTTTTTTGTTTTTTTGTGGCGGTTGTGTGCTTGCAGTGACAGGCAGAGGCGCGCCCCGGGGCCCGGCCGGCGGGGGCGGGTGGGGGGTGTGTTGTTGGGTGGGGGGGGGGTGGGGGGGGGGGGGGGGGGTGATTTTTGGTCATCAAGAGTTTTTTTTTCTAGCAATCCTGGTGGGCAGGATATTTTTTTCCCTTTTTTTCCGATAAGCTTTCTATTACATTTGTGCTGCATGCAATTTTTTTCTTCCGACAAGCGCTTGCAGGAATTTTTTTTTCAAAATCACCCTTCCCCCCTCCCCCCCCCTCGAGAGTTAAATGGTCGGCCCCTTAGGGACAGAAGAAAGTGGCCATTGTAGAGATCAGAGGTTTAAAGAGGAGTCAATATATAGACTTGATCCGCCATAAAACTGGCCGTTGTCATGAGACAGCCGTTAGCGGAGGTTCGACTGTGAGAAGAAGCTGTTGCTGATTCAAGATATGTCAGGACGCGATACATTTGCAAGAGTGCGAATATTGAGAAAATATGAAAGTTTTTGTCAGTTTTATCGATTAATTTCTTCGTTTCTCATTTGCATAACTGTAGGAACGGACAAAGTCTGCAACTTGCAAACGTTAGACTTACTTCTTCCAGTTTTGCTTTATTGAATTCGCCACGGTGACTCAACACCGTGACAGGGGATGAAAAAGGACTAACGTCCAAATTGATATCAGCCCCTTCATTACCCACCCAGCCCATGAAAGGTTGTACCACACCACCGGGGTCTACGCCCCCTACTCTTTACGAAAAGCAGTGTTGGTTCTTCTATGTCCCACAAGAATCAGAACAATGAAAGAGCTGTGACACGGGCCTACGGTTTTTCGTTCTTATCCGAGAAGACTAGAATGTCTAACCATTTGTAAATGTCACAGCAAAGAGAGCACATTATTCTCCTCAGTTATTTTAAGACCCTGAGTGTTGCTCCGGTCGGGGCTCGAACCCGCGACCTTCCGCTCGGCAGACCGGCGCTTAACCAATTGAGCTAACCGGGCAGCGGCATTATAGCATTATGTCTTAGGAAAAAAGGTCCAGCCCATAATTTTAACAAACATACGAAAAAATATTTGACGACGGAGTTCGTTAGGAAAAAGGTGCATTATTTAAACTGGATTTCATTCGCCAAAAACGGTTTGGTCGATTTGACATTGGATACCCATACCTCAGGGGTCATTCCGGTTTCTATAACATGAAGTACTTAGCTGCATTACCAACCCCTCCCCCTTTGATGGGATCTACCCATCAAAGAATTACCATCGTATTAGGTTCCTGTTTCATAAAAAGCAACCAGGGTATTACTACCCCATGGATACTGAATGCCAGTCTATAACAGGGTATCCTTCGTATTTTGTAAGGTTTCTGAAACTGACCGGAATGCCCGGAGAAACATCTTGGAGCAAAGAAGAAAGCCCATAACAAATTCAATCTACATATGGCGTCGAAGCTGGGACTTAGACCCAGGCCGCATCGATGTGCGGCGATTGCTCTAACAACTATGCAACCCTTGCTACCCCTAACGTTTTCCTGAAATTTGTTCACCCGCAAAACCAGGCAAATTTAGCCTGAGGGCATTTATAGAAGTCAAACACTAAAGGAAGCTCGTTTAATCCGGTTCTATGCCATGAACGGAGTTCGAGGTTACTTCATAAAGAAGAAAAGAAGGCCCTCAATAGTCTTGGGATCATACTAAGGAGCCGGTATATGCAGCTTTTTGTTGCACAAAGAGCCATGATTTCAAAATTGCCGCGTTGGTTCGGACAACTATGGTAGCATGTGTTTGCACCTCCCACAGATCATAACACTGTTTGGTTAAGGTAGAGGGCTACAGTTCTGCCAAAGGGCAAAACGGCTAAAGGGAATAGGTGATGATGCAGATCGTACAGTTACTGGTATTGTTGTTTAAAGGTAAGTTACTGGAACGTTCTGTTGTAGGAGCTATTAGTACGTTCTGAAACAGTTATTTACTCCGATTTGGTTGCTGTTTCTTTTAAAACGTATGGAAAGTGCGGCGGAGAAAATAGGACGCGAAGAAGTAGCGGATATTTGACAGTAGTTAACCAAAGATGTCATCGTTCAACTTGATAGCGCTGTAGATACGTTGTTCTGAAAGGAGAGTCCTTGCTTAGGATGATGAATGAGGGTGTTCGTTCCCTTACTAGCAACCTGGACACAAAAAAATATAAAATAAAACATTTTAGCCACAAAATAGTGCTTTTTGGTTTTTCTTTGGGAATTAAGAAAAGTTGTCTATTTATACATATGTATGACCTGTTTTACACCTTACAGGCACAACTATACACAGCGTTTTTACAATAAAATTGCGGCCACGTTGGTCTTCCAGACCAAACCTGTCGGAGTTGAACTCTTTCCTTTGTAAACGCTTTCTTTTGCTCCAAAAAATCTGCAAAGATGCTGGCCACGTGATTGACAACGCTGTATAGCTATCGAATCACCTTCGGTAGCATTTGTAAATTCAAGGAAACACATGTAACTGTGGAGCATCTCATTCAACAAATCAGTTGTTATTTGAGGTTGGATTGTAAAGAGAACATGCAAGATACCTCTATATATAATTTTTATTTAAAGTAAAAACTACTTTATTCAAGATACCTTGAGTCCGAGAGAACATCTTTAAGACATTTATTATTCTTCACCAAACACAGCTTTTCACTAGAAGCGTCTTCGAAATAAACCTCCAGACTTTCTGGCTTGTATTTGTTTTCTATATCCCATGGAGGCGATTCAACTTCGAACATAGTATGTAAGTGGTCTGAGATCCTAAATGCAACAGCAAAAGAAATTTCTCAGACTGGCAAGACAAAACAAAGAAATTGAAAGCACTACTTTGATTAAGGTTTGGAAAAGTGAACGTAATAACCAGAAATATTATTCGAACATTGGCCCT